AAAGGCCCCCCAGCAGGGAAGGGGGAGCGTGGAAAGCAGCTTCCCCACGTTCTTCCCCTCCTCTTACAAGCCGCCGGTGACAGACGGAGCGGCCACCGCCAGCGTGGCAGACCAGGCCACCGCGCCGAGCTTTCCCGCCGTGCCCTTTGTGGCCTTTTCGCCTTCTTTCCAGCTGGGATTTCCCTTGTCCAGGGGGGAAAGGAATCCAGCAGGACCCAGCTCCTCTGTGACCTCCCGCTTCGGGTGAAGGCCACCCCGGGGGACAGGGCCACCCCGCTCCCACCAGGGCTGTGCGAAGACAGGGGACAGCTCCAGGGCCACCGGCGCCTGGGTCCAGTCCAAGTCCCCACCCTGAGCATTTCCCGGCACCAGCCGGTCCCACCTCCCCGGCGGCAGGATCTCCTCCGCGAGGGTTATTATTTTAGATACATATTTTTTAAAGAATTCTTTGCCTACGTGGAGCTCGGCGCTGCGGGAGAACAGCGCAAACAGCCTTATCGAGGGCAGCGGCACCGCGGGGGCACTTCCTCAGGCACAGCCGCAAGATGGGGCCCCTCCATGGCTGCCGGGGCTGGCAAGGGCTGGCAGGGGGGGGCTGGCAGCCCCTGGCCTTCCCAGTGACCGGACACCAGGGCGACGGGCACCGTACAGTCACTGGCAGAGGTTTGCTGGGCTGCTTTCCTCCCGACTCCACAGCGGGGAGAGCGGCACGGCCGGGTGGGGGGTTTGGTTTTAACTGAGGGGTCTGTAGCAGGACGGCTCCACAGGGGGAAAGGGAAGGACGATGCCATCGGCCCGAGCTCAGCTGCATTTTCCCTGGGCACAAGGGCTTCACCAGCACCTCGTTGCTCCCCAAATCCTGCCGGACCCAAGCACCCAGGCCCCGCGGAGAGTCAGGGCAGCCTTGACCTGAGTTTCCCTCTCCAGCCTGCCATCGCTGCCTCCCTTCTCCCCCCGGCAGCTGGGAGCAGATGAGGCCAAAGTCCTGGCAATCTCTGTTTTCCGCTGAAGGCTGATAAACCACACAGGCACGGAACGGCAGCGATCTCCACCCATCCCGGTTTTGTGCAGGAGAGAGTCAATATTTAAACCCAAGTTTGTTTCCTGGGCAGAAAGGGGAGCGCTGGGGCTGTAGGCGGGAGAAATCCCCAGCTCCATCCCGGGCGCCAGACCCAAACTTCCTCCTTACACCCCTTTATTTGTTCTCCTGACCACAGGTTTCACCCCGGATCCCCTTTCCTGCAGGAGCAGGGCCCCATCCCCATCAGCTGTGCTACACCAGCACCAGCTGCAGGGCCCAGCACCCACTAATGGGGCAGCAATTTAAGGGAGGGGGGTGCCCAGCCACACTTTGGGTTGTCTCCTTGCCTGCTCCTGCCTCCACTGCCCCTGTGGTGGGATACCTCAAATGAAGTGTGGGGCAAGAAGAACCAGGGTTAGAAACAGGAGGAGGTAAGGAAATATTTAATTATCCTATAAACAGCAGCCCCTGCTACAAGGTAAGGCTGTGCACTGAAACCTGGTTTGCATTTAAATTGACCAAAAACTATATTTGAGTGTTGTGTTTCCAGCAAACCTCATGGGTCCCTGTGAACTGGGCAGAAATTGCTGGCAGGATGCTTGCTCTGGTGCAGATTTAGGTAAATTCCTTAGGCAAATTCCTTAAAGGAAAGGAAATAGCCCTTTTCATTGCAGTGGCTGCAGGCAGCGTGTGCCCGGGGTATGGGAGGTTTTACAGGCACGCGACCAGCAGAAGGCAGCCTTCATTTTGAGGGTAAAGGCGTGTGTTCCTGAGCAGGCGTTGTGTGATCTGGGAGATGCAATGTCCAGTGGTGGGGTAGGCAGAAAACCAGTTAATCCATTAAAAGGACAGGCGGGTAAGGGCCCTGCGAGCTGTGGAGGAGGAGGATGGAGCGGCTGAGCCCACCCGATAGGCTCCGAGCGGGTCCAACAGCAGCACAGGGTCCCCACCATCCCTTCCGGAATTGCTCAGGGTCAATTTTAACCCCAAATACCTACTTGCATGTATATTCAAGCAGTCAAGCCCCCTGCTGCCTCCACGCTTGCTCATTTGCTCAGCCTAAACCTGCTGGCCTTCTGTGGAGGTGAGGAAGATCAGAGGGAATCATGAGTTTGCAGTAGCTGGTTTAACCCTGGCTTTGGGGAAAAAACCAAAGGAAATGCCTGTGTTAAACTGAAACCTTCCCTGCGCGAGGGAGCCTGTTACGCAACAAAAAAAACTTAACACTTTTTATAAAAAAGAAACACCCAAGAGTCGTCGTTTTATAGCTTTATTTCAGAACACAGTTAAATCCTCTTTGAAATAATCTCTGGTGTTAGGGAACGGGGCCATGCATTATTTAACTTTAGTTACCGTAACACAAACTGTACGGGAGGAAGGGGGGACAGACAGGACTGACTTCACGACACCGAAGGGAGCTGGGTGGGAACCACCAGTCCCAGCGTGTACCAGCGCTGTCCCGCAGGCCCTGGCTGGGAGATGTGGATCAAACCCCCTGTGCGCTGGCAAGTCGGGGTCCCCAGAGGACCAGGACGGGATGTGACCCCAGCTGCTGCTGCAGCACACAGGAACCCGCTCAAGGACCCCAAAACCTCTTCCCAGGGAGTGCAGCAACACCTCTGTGCAAAAGACTGCTTCGTGGGGGAACCAAAATGGGGGAAATCTGCCTGGCTGCCATAACAGCACAGACTGGTGCAAAAAAAAAAACCAATTCTCATGTGGGGAGCTGAGGACAAATCCTGCCCTGCTGCCACCGGTGAGCTCTGCTGCGTAAGGGCCAGCCATGCTCCCGTGTGCATGAGGAGCCCTTGACCCCGACACCTTGCAAGCCTTTGGCCTCCTCAAGGTTTATTCCTTTATTCCAGACAGCAACAAACTGAGTGCCCCTCTTCCTGCAGGGGGTGTAGCTATGAGCAGGACGCTGCCGCGCAGCAGCCCAGCGCCGCAACGCGCCGCTCTGTTTCCATCAGCAAAGTGGCGATGCTGGGGTTTGGCAGGAGCCTGGCGGGGCTCGTGGTCCCACCGGCTGGGAGACACCCATGCGATGCAGTCGTGCCGCTCCAGAGACAACGCTGCACCCAAGCATGGGCCGGTCCAGGACCCATCTCCCCTGAGAAATGCGTACAGGCTGCCTGCCCAGGTTACACCCAGCAGGTCTGGGTGTATCCCAAATACAGTCCCGCAAAAAGCCTTCCCAAAGCAGTTACCATGTGCATCCCTCCCCAAGTGCTCTCTCCATGTCCAAGTCCCAACACCGCCCCGGAGCCCAGCCGTACCTGTCTCTTTGGGACTGCACTGTTCTCTGTAGTGGGACGCCATTTCCCTGTTTTGATACCATAATTTCCCTTTCACACCCATGGGAGGTGGTGTGCTCCCTAGTGTTCAGGTACCCTCGAAACCTTAAATATGGGTCACAGGGTTGATCTCACCCAGGATGAGCTACCTGCCATGCAACTGTTTGCCTTCTCCAGAAGAGATGAGACTGGAACCTGGTCAGCTGGCATAGCCTTCCCAGCAAGGTGACCTTGGATCTCTTGCTGCTTCTCAGCTCAGGCAGAACGAAGCAGTCTTCTGTCCCTGCATCCTGGGGCTGGCTCATTTAGTACCTGGGCATTTTCTGGTTTCCCAGACTTCCCCAGTGACTCCAGAGCCTGGACCAAAGAGACAACTCCCTTCTGCTCTCTCTGCTACACATCCCAGTCAAGAGAGCCATGAGGATGGGGCTTTGGTCCAGCTGGAGCCTGAAGCCAGATCTCCAGAAGCCAACTTGTTGCTGGTCTTGCTGGAGAGGAGGTGTCTTGTTCTGGCACCACAGACTTTGGATCGAAAATTAAAAATATACATATATCGAAACAAGCTTAGGGTTTCTTGAGGAGTCCAAGTTCATCACCTCTCCCCGCCAAGGAGTCAGTCGATGGGGAAGCAGGCAGCTGGCATGGGCGCTCTGCGGAAGAGCAGGCTGGAGCCACGGAAAAGCTGCCCCTGAGGAGAGAGAACATGGGGTCAGGGCAGCCGTGCTGAGACCCGGCCAGGGAACTGCAGTCGGTTTAGCAGGGACCAACTTGTGCCCACCAGAGGGCTGCAAGGAGTTGGGCATTTCCCCCAGGGATGACTGATGGGACTTGTGCCCACCAGAGGGCTGCAAGGCTTGAGCACCCTGGGTTGTCATGAAGGAGAAAGTGGGGGTTCAGCCCTGTGGGCGCTGGAGTTGGGCATTTCCCCCAGGGATGACTGATGGAGAGGGGCAGAGCCACCCTGCTTTGCTGTGTGCAGTGCATTGGCTGCAAGCTCGGGGCAGCCCAGTGCTGCCATGCCTGGCACCAGTGCCAGAACTGGAAGAATGGAAACAGGTTACAGAGCACATCAAGGATGCAGCACAGGCACTTTCTGGGCAGCACTGGAGACCTCAGGAAGGAGCAGAGTGAGCCCAAAGCCCCATGTGTGCCCCGTTCCCTCACCTGAGCACTGAGATACCTCCAGCAATGGATCCAGGATGTAAACGCGGGAGCATAGGGAGGGAGGCCAGCACGCAACCTGCATGGCAACAAGAAATAGCTGAGACGGTCTGTACAGATGTCACATTATCCAGAGAGGTAACACAAGAGCAGCCGTAAGTGTAAGCGAGGACACAGAAACGGTGTCTGCACTGGGCTGAAGGCCAAATGACCAGCTCGTTATTTACAATGCAACAGATCGTGTAATTTAATTACCCCTGGAGTGTACAAACAAGGAGCGTTACCTGGATACGTTAAGAGTCCAGGACTATACGCTGTATCTACACCTTCAAGAGCCAGCAGATACTGAGAAAACACCACACCAGCGGCTTGGATCCAGTCCCCTTCCCGTAAGCACGAATGCAGAAGACTCCTTGCAGCAGTGGGACTGGGAGAGCAAGCTTGGTCCTGCTCCTGTCCGCACCCATGGCTGCATTAAGAGCTTTGGTTTCCTTCGTGCCGCTCCCCGGAGCCTGCACGGTCCCTTTGATCCCTTCTGCCTCCGGTCTAGTTCAGATGGGACCACACCACCACGACCCTCCCTATTTCTTTCCACTGGAGCTTTTACGCCGCGCTCGTCTGTGCCCTCTGATCTAAAATTATAAGCAACCTGGGACAGGAAACGAGCCAACTCTGCGAGGTGCCATATAGTTTACGGTTCTGTATGAAAGCTTTACGATCGTTAGCAGAGGATTCAGACAACAAGGGCCTGGAAGAAAGGAAGGGAAAGCCTTAGATCTCAGTGTGACAGACGTACCCACAGTTGTTCACTGCCATGAGATCTCCCACGAGAAGGAACGGGTACGTCAGCATGCTCACGGCGATCTGAAAGCACAGAACACCGGTAGCCTCTCTAATATTCATCATGTCAAAAAAGCTTTTAGTTCCAGCTTTTGCGTGTTACCAAAGTTATCCTTGTCTTTGGATATGAAGTACAGACCAGCCTCTTCCCCCAGACCACGAGCTCTCACCCCACAGATGTGAAGAAGAGGAGAAATGATGTGGCAGCTGCCTACGTACCCCCATCACGAATTTCGTGTAGCTCCGGATCACCGATGCCTGGCTGAACTGGAAAGAGAAACCAAAGGGATTATGAGGGAGGCGGATGACATCAGGCTGTCACCGTCACCACACGACATCCCTCTGAGCCAGAGATGATGGACGCAGGGCAGGGGAAGAAGGCAGAAAGCAATGGTAACTGCACTTGCACCCCTGCTGAGAACCAGGGAAAATATTTGCTGTCAAACCTGATCCCCTAAACTGCAGCCGAGACACAGCCCTAGGCAGACACGGCATCTTTAGCACTTTTACAGTCTTTTATCCAAAGCCCAGAGCCTGTGTGTATTAAATTAGCCATTAACCTCCCATTAACTCCTTCCAGCTGCAGGGGCTTGGTACGAGCCCCCCAAACCCTCCATCGGGCATTTCCACTCACGTTATCGTCCACTGCGTAGGTGTTGATGAAGTGAGCCAAGAGGTTGCAGCACCAGAGGAAGATGACATCCCCCAGGACATGAGGGACCAAACCGCTGCAACGGCAAAGAGGGGCGTGAGGTGCAGAAGGGTCCCAGTGCCACCTTCCAAGGCGCCCAGCCCTCCCTCACTCCCTCCACCAGCGTGGAGGAACCCCCATTCCCCCAAAATGCATCTTTACTTTGGGAAGAACTGAAGGGAAAAGGGGCAATTTTGGGCAAGAGCTCTCCCTGCTTTCAAACATGGTCCTATGTGTGCTGCCAGCTGCTCCGGACAGGCGATGCTCTGGAGTAGGAAATTTGGGATCTGTTGTTTGGGCGTGACTCAGCCAAGTCCCCTTGTTCTACCCCAAATCCCTTTTTGGCTCAACTCCTGCTCTGAAACCCAGGCAAGACACAGATGAAGCTGGTTTCTGTTAAGCTCATTTTGCAGATGCTCTTCCGGATGCAGAATAAGTTCATCTCTTTGTGGAATCTCGCTCCTTTTATGTAATTACAATGCGGGGGGGTGTGCGGCGGTGGTGTTCTTCCTGCAAAACCTGCTCTACTGCAAATCAGGATCAACTGGGGGCAGCACTCATGTCCCTGATTTTCCCAGTCCCTGCTGCCACCTGAGAGCCCAGGGACACGGGGTGATGTGCTGCTTTGGCTTATGGCTCTCATTGACAGGTGGGCTCCCACCAGCACCCCCAGCTTCTGCAGCTGATGGCACCAAAACCTTAGCAAAGCATTTCAGGAGGTTTCTCCAGCTCATCAGAGCTCCCACAGCATCAGTTGCACCAGCGCAGGCATCGAGCACAGGGGCTCCTGCTTCGGCTGTGCAGTTGTTCCACTGCAAAAGGATCCAGGTGCAGTTTTAAACCTCCCCGTTTCACCAGCAGATGTGTTCAGACAGCTCTGCTGAAAATGAGCCTGTTGAGAGCCGCACGAGTGTTGGCTGGGCTGGCAAGAGCCACCTCCAAGCACGCTAGTCCAAGTCATTGATTTCTTCCCAAACACCACGCTGCCCTTCGGAGAAGGGGACCGGTTTTGTTTCCTGCTCCGGTCGCTGCAGCAGCAGAACGGCAATGAGGACTGCATGCTCTGCTCCAGCCGGCTTCGCTTGCTTGGTGTTAGGGTTTATGCTTTTGGAGACAACCTGTGTGTTGTCAAGGTCCCTGCAGCTCTGGAGATGCAGCCGAGGTCTCGGGGGCTAGGCACAGCAGAAGTCTTCAATAGAAGATCTGCTGGCTTAGATGTGATACATGAGAGCAGCGGACAGGACAAAGAAATCAAAGCTCTCTGGTCCCAAAGAGATGGTCTGCTTTGCATTTAGCATTCAGCCTCTGTTTTAAAAAAAAAAAAAAAAAAAAAAAAAAAAAATCCTTTCTTTAACTCAAAGTCAAGTCTGAAGCAGACTCCTGAGCTGCTGCAGATACAACAGGGGCTTGATAAAGTCCAGAGTAAGAGGGCTGGTCCAGGCCTGAGCCAGGGCAGCCATGTAAGTAAAACCTCACCCACTCGCTGATAAGAGAACCAGATCGTTTGTTCCATTTGCAATAAGGATCCCATCCCTCTCTCTCCTCCGACATCAAAGTAACGACAGATGCTGGGCCCGAGTTTGAGACGACTGGAGACCAGAGGTCAGAGAGAACTGCAGAAAGGGACTAAAAAAACCAAATTAACTTGTGCTATAACTCCCACACCTGGTGAGATGTCCAAGGAGGTCTGGGCTAGGAATATTTTTAGAAGACAAATCATTAAAAGCTGAAACAGCAGCAGGCGGATGAGGAAGCCTGCACGATGCACAGCGATGCGACCCAGCAGAATAAACCCCTGTGCTGGGGAGCTGGGACAAGCCATCTTCGAGCTGACCGTGCACAGCATTTTCAGAGCCCCAGGAACATCTTTCCAGCCTGCTGGCGGGCAGGAGACTGCTGCAGGTATGAGGGAAAGCGAGATAAGTCCATCCCCTTGAAAAGTCTTAAATCTCTAGCCAGGAACACCCCCAGAGTGAGCGTGTGCCACTGTTACGGCTGCGTAGAGGTTATAAGGCCATGAGAAACAAATGCACTGCAAGGATTTTAAGGGAGTGGATGCGATTGGATTGCGTGAGGAGGGCTGGGAGCAGAAAAGCAGCAGTTTGGTCCTACAGATGCAGTCTGTGTTCCCCTCACAGCAGTGCGATTTCCTAGCGGGGTTGTAGAGCCACGTATAACTTCAGAGCCCTCCTGAGACATTTTGGGTTGTGTTAAAGTCTTTCCTGTGAACTATTAAGTTTAATTAGGCTACCAACAGTGTTTATTTTATGTGGAGGAAGGGAATGCGGCGGCTCCTTTCATGTTATTTCCTCGGGAGGTGGAGGAGAGGGAGGGCTGCTGGGCAGCATGCTCCGGCCGTGCCCCACGCACAGGGAACATCCCAGAAGAACCTGTATTTAATGGAGGAGATTTGGGGCTGCACAGCTCAGCAGAGCAGCTGTGGGATGCAAAAGGAAGATGCGGTGACACTCAATTGATCGGGGGTGGGGTGGTGTGTGTGTCTCTGCAGACCTCTGGCCCTTTCCCCTTGGGGAAGGACAGGGTGAGACCCCCTGCGATTGCCTGCCTCTTCCTGATGCATTCATGTTTCATCTGAAGGCCCAAATTTTGTGATTGCAGAGCCAAAGGCATCAGGCCTAAAAAACCCTCCTGAAATTTCGGAGCTGCCTTTACTATTATTGACATAATAAAGTGAGTTCTCTCCCCACTGGGAGCGGAGGCAGCAGGCAGTTCTGCTTTTATATAGATGTGGGGGGAAAAAAAGGCAAGAAGTGTTAATTAAGGGTTCAAGCAAAAAGGTGTCCAGTAGACTTCCACTTCAGCAACGCATCAATTTGCTGTGCTTCCCAAGCGGCTGGAAGCCCCTTTCAGCTCCTTCTGGTCCAGGCAGCGACTCCGCTGTGCCGGGCGGCATCGTGTTCCGGCTGTACTGGCACACCCGCCAGCACAAACCACCTGCTCATTACAAGCACCCACGGTGCTCTTCAGAGGAATGTGCTTCTTATCCAGGTCCTGGCTTTTATTTCAATAAGGGGTCTCATTGTTGCACTTGATCCTGGTGCCTGTTGCACAAACAAATGCTTTAAATGCCCCTTCACTGAAACACAAAGAAGCACCACGGGGGGGGAAAAGAAAGGTAAGAAAAAAAACCCAGGGTTTTCCCTGGGCTTGGAGGGTTTGATTGAAGACAAGATCTGGGGCAAACTTAATGGTCAAACTGGAGCACTGTCAAAGGCACAGATCTAATCTGTGCTCATGGGAGAGATGTGAGAGTCCCAGGTCAGACCAGGTTTCAGTTGCGGGGAGCTCAACGCAACTCCTTTAACTGAGGTTAGCAGAGCAGCCGGAAGAGCTGTCAGAGCCTTCGGACTATGGGAGAAGGTATTTGAACAACAACTCACGTACACAAAGAATCCCAGGATCCCTTCTTCCTTAAATATCCTGCCGATGGCGCTGAACACACCGCTGCCAAGGAAAGAAGAGAGCTGTAAGTGTGCAGGGGTTGCTCTGTCTCTGTCCCGCACAGCTTCAGGTGCACCCCGCAGCCTCTGGCCATAGCAGTGTCCCCCCCAGCCATCAGGCCAGCCATGCAGCAGGCAGCTCTGTTCTGCTCCTCAACCCATGGAGGGTGGTGTCTGCGCTCTGCCAGTCTGCAATAATGCCTGGACAACACCACCACTCAACTGGCTGGCGGCTGTTGGAATGCTGAAGCTAGAAGAGCTCTGCTTGGCTTTGTGTGAGTGAATACACGGTGCCATGACCGCGGCACGTAATATGATTTGATTCGGCTGATTCTCAGCCCAAGAACCCTGTCCTGCCTCTGGGAGTTCACGCTGGCAGTCATGGGTTAGCTGCAACCATTCCTAACATGCTTTCAGGTGGCTGCAAGTTCAGTTTTGCCCTGCAGAGAGGTAGATATTACTGAAAAAGGCTCGGAAAAATCTTGTAGGCTAGCAGGGTTGCAGCAATGCTCTGTATTACCTAACTCTGCCTCCCTGCTGACTTCCCTTCCTATTAACACCTAAAGCAAAAAGGCAGGAGACTCGCTGTGTGATCAGCAAGGTGTGTTACAGCCACCAAAATCCCCATGGGCACAAGGCAGAGCAGAGGCACGCCAGGGACAAGAGCCCAGCCTTCCCACGTCCCTTCACCCTGCAGTTACCTACCCTCTAACCATGGCTCAGATTCACTTCTTGGTCTCCCAAACCTCCTGGGTTGCCCTGTTCCCCATTGCATGGGAGCATCTGGCATGGCTGACTCCAGGATTCATGCTTCTGTGTGCCCAAACCCTTTGGAGCTGCGGCCACTCACCTGTATTTGACTTCCCGGCCTACGAACTGGACCATGCAGCGCATAGAGATCACTAGGAGGAAAGAAACACAGGGCTGACAAAGAAACAAATCCAGTTTGGGTTGCAATGGATGTGAAGGAAAGTGCAACCTGACCTTTCTGCCCTCCCTTCCTTCAACTCGCATCACCTCCAGCTCCTCTCAGTGGTCCTCATTACCACAAGACTCATTAGAAACTGGTGTCCTCCCCTAGTCTGTGAGTGACAGGAAGGATTTCTGGCCCTAAACCCAACGGGATCTCCAGCATAAGCTCTTGGATGCGTGGGAAGAGAGCACCTCGCTGCTCGGCTGGGTTAGTCCCTGAAGGCCAACCCAAGCGCCGGCCTCCCTAAGCAACCTCAGACCTGCACCTCTGCGGTTTCATACGAAGCCACTTCTGATGGAGAAGGGCATCGAGTATGTGGGGTTTTGGGGTGATCCTCAGTCCAAAGAGGGCTGCCAGGCAGAGGGTCAGGACTCACCGTGCAGTGGATGCGAGACAACCCGGGACACGCACTGCATCATCATCTCGTGAGATGTCTGGGGAGGAAAAAAACCACACCTGCATGAAAAGCTGCACGGCTCCACCTGCACAGATCAGGCCCTTTCCCTTAGCGTGGTGAAACCCATTTCAGGTCCCTCTTTTGAAATCTGTTGTTCATGGTAAATCTCTATTCCTACAAAATATTTCATAGCTGGACACAGTGGCTACTAAATACTAAATACTGGCCTTTTCACCCAGAGTTTCTCTCCAAGTAATTTCACCCGCAGCCCACACTGCTCTCCAGGCACATCCCCAACGTGATCTCCCCACTCACTCATTAACGTGCAATAGCCATTTCTCACCTCTTTCACCACTTTCCGAAGGGAGGTCTTCACATCGTCCTTGTTAGAAACGTGCTCCATGTCTTCCAGTGGAAAGGCCTGAGCGGAGAGAGAAGGAACATATGGGCAAAACCAATGGAGACGCTGACCCGCAAACGCTCAATGTCCGAGGACAGGAGGAAACCATGAGCAGTTGAGCTTTAGATGGGAGGACAAGAAAAACAGGCAAGAAGGAACATAGAAGGAAGGATGGAAAGTAAAACAGGGGAACAGAGGGGTCACAAAGCCACTTACAAAGGATAAAAAGCAAGCAGTTCTTCAAATTAAATTAAAATTGTTTGAAACATAAGTTTTAGGGATATGGTCACTGTTCTCTTCCTGCCCTGGAGGACTATTCAAAGTCCTTAGGAGATGGAGAGGGATGGGTGCTTTATTTTTCCAGTCGCAGTTGCGGCTGGGTGCAGGGCTGTGCAGGCTCCCCGGCTCTGCTGCAGTAGCACCGGCCGACCCCGCAAGCTGATTTATGGAGAGCGAAGCCGACCTTTACCTTCTTCACGCTCCCCCTGGTGATGGTTGATAAAGTGCTTGAGATGAGGCGAGGAGTGAGACCGCGGAAGAGGCCTCTTTTCCCATCCACTTCCACAATGTGTCTGGCTGGGTAAGAAAACACCAGGCTGCCGTCAGTCGGGAACCGGCCGACTCGCGGAGAGCATCCCGAACACCTCTGGCATTCGGCCGAAACCGCGCCGGAGCTCAGCAACAGCACGGCAGCCATTCTGCAGTCCCACCGTAAGTGATTTATTGTAACAGTCCGAAATAAATTTCATATAGGATGCAAAAAGTCCTTAAGCATTCCCTGTCATATCTGTCTAATCTGGAAGGATAGCTCCAGTATTTTGGGCTACTTCTCGTCTCGTTTTGCTCACCTGGAAGGACTACGAGGCAGTTTGGACTGACCCAGGGTAGGGAGGGATCATCTCATGTGTTGTGGGGTGTAACCTCCTCCCTCCGCCCCAGGAGACTCAGACTCAGGGTTAATACGGATCTCACAAACCCAAGTTCAGTGCCGGCCCCGCCACCTTCTCCCCTGCAAACTCCCTCAGGTCTCCAGCCAAGAAAAAAAAGCCAATGGACCCAATTTCTCCCTGATATAACAAGGTGGAATACAACCCACCATGTGCTTGTGGGTACCGACTGCTCCTGTCCCAATCCTCTGCTGTCCCAAGGGAAGCCAGGAAGGCTCTGCACATCTCCATCACCCAATGCTGTAAATCTATTTGGAGAATGCATCTTCCAAAGGGCAGCACCGGAGCATTTCCAGCCCTGGGTGTTCCAGGATGGGTTTGCAGTGCTTTCATACTGCTCCTGCACTGGCCCCCCCCGTCTCACAGGTACTGCAGTCCGATTTTGGGATCAGCCCAACTTGACTTTCAGGACTTGTGGGCTTCCCTTCCCCACAGCAAACCCATTGTGAAGGCAACCCCCAAGGTCAGAGTACAGAGTATTCAGCCACCTCCCTGTGCTGCTCCACCCACAAAAGGAGAAAAATAGGGGGGGTTAATCCTTCTAAACATATTACTTTCCCTTTTCTTGGTATTTCTGTCCCTTTAGGGCCCCATCTACAACATAAATGACCAGGGCAGAGGGAGAAGTTATTGCAGGGCTGTTTTGTAGCAAAGACAGGCGCTTTGCTATCTCTAACGCCCGCAAAACCCTCCACCAACAAACCTACGCCACCCAAACCCCCACCGTCCCCTTCGCTATGGTGCAAACCCAGAGCAACGTGCGACGGGAAAGAGATGTGGCACCAGCGCCAGGGCCACTGCCTCCTTGTAGCCAACAACAGGTAGGTAAACCTGACGACTTTGTTTTCTATCTCAGTGCGGCCTCGGGATGATCCCAAGGATGCTGCCAGGGACGGGGGAGTGCTGCTGGAGGTCAGCTCGGTCCACCTGGCAGCTCCCAGCCCCATTTTTGGGCAGGACCTCGTGCTGGCAGGGCGAGACGATCGCTCACCGTAGGTGAAGAAGCCGGGCAGGTACAGGACTTTCCTTCCCAGCACGTTTCTTCCAATGGTTGGAGGTAGTGGTTCATGCCCAACCTGCAAGAGAAACCCCATGAGCACATCCCTACCCCTGTCCCCCTGTTCCCAAAGCCCCCCGGGCACGTGGCCTCGATCCTGGCAGCCTCAATCCTGGCATCTGTGAGCTGCCGAAGGGCCACGTGTTCCCTGTCACCCTCAGATACATGGGGGTGCCATGACGTGGGCAGTCCCTTTCCATTATACAGGGTCCCTGGGGTGCAGGGGGGCCTCATCCCTCCCGTTTTATGGGGGTCCCTATTACAGAGGGGTTCTCAGGATGCTGCAGGTCCTTACCACCCCCACCATTATATAGGTGTGTTTCCCACCTTTCATTCTATAGGAGTCCTCATTGCAGGGGATATCCTCATCCCTCCCATTCTATAGGGATCCCCACTCTACAGGGTGTCCCCTGTCACATGAGGGGGTCCCAAAGCCCCTGCTATAAAGGAGTCCCTGTTCTGTAGGGGTCCTCATCCCTCCATCCCATAGGGTTTCCTATTCCTGGAAACGTGGGGGGGGTCCCCATTGTAGAAGGTATCCTCATCCTATAGCATCATATAGCCCTCCCCACTTCAGAGCTGCCCTCATCCTCCCGGTTACACAGGGACCCCCATTACATGGGGTGACTTCATCCCCTCTTATATGGGGGTCCCCGTTGCATGGGGGACCTCGTTGCTTCCTCCTATAGGGGTCCCCCCCCCATTGTACAGGTGCCCCCACCGTGTCCCGTTATTTAGGGGGGGGGCTGTATATACAGCGGTCCCCAGCACACAGAGGTCTCCACAGGCGCCCCCCTCCCTCCATTACATTGAGGTCCCGATCCCGCGTTAAACACGGGCTCCCC